TGAGGTGTGTCTGACGGGAGATTCTGGGACCAGTGAGTTCAAGTTTCTGAAGCCGACTGTGCCCAGTTTTCAAGGCCATTCCCCAGGGCCAGAAATAGAACAAATCCCTAACTTTAGTAAAGACTTTGCTTTCAGTATTAAGTGACAATAATTGTTTTTCATATTCCAAATGTTTTAAATTGATAATAGTTCAAGGTGATAGTTCTTTCTGTCAACCTGTCATGAATTTTTTAATTATACTAAACTTGCTTGCAAAATCTGTTTTAAAGAATGGTATCTTATCTTTTCTTCATTACTATAAAAAGCTTAATGGTCATAAATCTTGCCTCTCAAGACACTGATGAAGTGAATAGTTGTACAAGTCCTTGTTCTGGCATAGCTTAGAAATGTATTGGGGGGAAAAGTGGGAAATTAATTAATTCTATATAATTAGTTCTATTTCCTTCAGTTTTTCTTACTAGTTTTAAAACCATGAAGCATATAAGGCAGTACTGTGCTAACACACTGAGTCATGCCTAATTGGTAAGGAGAGAGAACTGATAGAGTGATAATTTGGCTTTTGATTTATTATGCTCTCATAGCACTTTGATCTTACTTTCTCTTAAAATGTTATACTAATTGTGCTTCCTTTCACTAATATGCCAAGTTTAGTTTTAATATAATTATTTTAATTGCTTTCCATTTAGTTTCATTGATGTTAAATGGTGGGGGGTGATGCTACACTGTTCATCTAGTGAGATAAAAGGGCATAGTAGGAAATTTGCATTTCCCACTTGAGAAACATTGGTCATCTGTGACAGAAATGCAGTAGCCACCCAGTCTCCATTCATCTTTTCTTCTTTAGTGACAGACCCCAAATTTCATTTAGAGAATTTGTGTACTTAGTCAAAAGAAGACATTTTCCCAGCCTCCTTGGCAGCTAGAACAGGGGCATTTGACTGGGTTATTGGCAATGAGAAATATATATAAATGTTGAAGACTTCCAAGAAGGCTGTTAAAAACGAGATGACTCATCTAGGAAGGGGGTCCCTTTTTGTCCTTCTCTAACTGCCCTTGCTGCTTGGAATGTGTGAGTCATGGTTGGAACACAGTCAGTCATACTGAGCCATAAAGCAACACTAAGGACAGAAGTAATGGACCAAGACAGACAGTATAGAATAAACTTCAAAGAGATAAGGATCCCTGATAATCACGAAGTCATCGTGTCATCCCTGGATTGCCTTCTGCTGAACTTTTTTACATGAGAAATAAAGGAACTTCTATCTCATTTAAGCCACCATCATTTTAGTTTTGTGCTACCTCCAGTGGAATCCAATCCTAATGATTTCACAGTAAGATTTTTTGTTATTATATAATACAGTAAAATGCACAAATCTCAAGTGTATAGTTCAATCTAACTAATCTTTGTTAAGTTTTTATTACTTGATTTCTAGTTTAGTTAAAAGTAGAGTAGAGTGCTTTACATTCATTACTTTTCCAATCCTCTGCCAAACCTGAAGGAAGCATACTATCTCCTCTTTTACATATGATAAAACAGCAGCTTCGAGAAGCTAAATAACTTGCTCACAATTCTGAAGTAATAAAAGGAAAATCTGAAATATATTCTAAGTCCACTTGAATTGAGTGCCCCACTTCTTAACCCATACGGTAGGCATTAATTGATAGCATTTTCTTCCTAACTAAGGAAGTGAAATCCACCTACTCCACGAATTGAACTCCTGTGTAGAAATGTAACTTTTAGTCTATAGCTTGCATTTGTTTCTATATCAAGGACCACACTGCTCTGGACCAATAAACCCAACGTTCTTACAGAAGTACTGACTCAAGTAAGCTGGGTCAGACACCACAATCGACCTTCATTATGATCAGATAGCCTGATTATCTTCCTGTACCTTCACAACATATCACATTCATTGTTGCAGAAATGAATGTCCTGAATAGGGAGTAGAATTACCCTATGGTTGTATTTCTCCCCCAACCCCATTTTTATTTAAAAATCATAGGGTTGTGCTTCTATATAAAGTTTGTGTATCTAGCAATATAAAATACTGGCATATTTTAAAAAAAACAAAAACGAAGTGGAAATTTAGAACCCTTTTGATTCAATGGTCTTATGATTTTAAAAAGAAAACAATGCAAGACTCAGAATTTTGGAGTGGTTTGTGTGCCTCTCTTCATTTTAATTTTGGACTGGCTGCCTGTATGTTGATGACGATGTAGCTGTGCTGTTTGTGCCGCTGCTGCTGCCATGGCCATTTGATGCTGCAAGAATTGCAGTTGTTGGATCTGTTGCTTCTGCTGTTGAAAGGCACTATATGGTTGTATTTCTTGAGCTTCTTGTACTATTCCTTTTTCTGTCAACCCTAATATACATTTCTCTATATTTTGAAAGTTTAAACTTGTTTTATTGTATACATTTTGTAAGTCCCTTATTCACATTAAATATACTCTTTGAAATCAGTTGCTATTCTAGTAGTAATTCTAAATGAAATAACTAATTTCAGAAAAGTATAGGCAATGATGTGGAGGAATTTTTATCACTAAATAGAGATTCTGGAAATTTAATAGAACTAAAACTGGTAGGCTACAGTTATCTTCTATTAAAAGTTAACCACATATCTTTGGCAATTCCTCTTTAAAATTATGCTGAAAAAAGATTTAGAGGGTCATATATTACTTTAGTTCTGACAGGATGGCTCACAAGAGCTGAATCAGGCATTCTTTATCATTTGCTATGATTATGTTATTCTTGTAGAGTGTCTTTAGCATTTGCTATGATTATGTTATTCTTGTAGAGTGATAAATTTTTGTGGAGTCAGATTCTGGGTGCATAAAAATTCATGCGTATGTTATATATTAGTTTTCACTGCTACTATTAAAAATTATCACAAAAGAAGAAAATTACCACAAATGAAGTTGCTTAAAGCAATAAAAATGTACTACTATATAATTCTCTAGGTCTAATGTCTGATATAGGTCCAACTGGACTAAATTCAGGATGTCCGCAAGAGTGAATTCCCTCTTGGTGGCTCTAGAGGAGAATCCATTTCTCTGTCTTTTCCAGCTTCTAGATGCTGCCTGTGTTATTTGACTCAAGGCCCCTTTTACCCATCTTAAAAGCTGGTAACATTGTGTCTCTTAGTCCAGTTCTTCCATAATCACATCTCCTGATCATAGCCAGGAAAGGTTCTGTCCCACGCAGATAATCTAGAATAATCTCCTCTTCACGAAGTCCTCAATTTAATTACATCTATGAATTCTCTTTTGCAGTGTGAGATAACATATTTACAGACTGTGGGGATTAGTGCATGGATAGCTTCAAATGGGTGACCATTATTCTGCCTTTCACAGGTTAGATGCTTGGAGGAAAATTATTCAGTCTAGCAGTACCACATATGGCCAAAGAAAAGCATATAAAGACCTTTATAACAGGAGTTCAGACTTCAATGCCTAGATACTTTAACCCTAGACAAGGTGTTTAACAAAATTCTAAAGATTGTTAACAAAAACACTGAATTTATAAAGATATCATTAATCTTTACCACAATCCAATTTAAATTATAAAAATAAAAAACCTGAACAGAAGAATTCAAATACAATAAGCAACTTGTTCTAAATAACTCTTAAAACTCAGTTACAAAAAGACAAGTAACCCAACATAAAAATGGGCAAAATCTGAATAGACATTTCTCTGAGGAAGATACACAAATGACCAATAAGCACATGAAAAGATGTTCAACATCATTAGCCATCAGAGAAATACAGATCAAAATCACAATGACATATGATTTCATACCCACTAGGATGGCTAAAATTAAAAAGTCAGTAACAGTATTAAATAACAAGTTTTGGGAGGATGTGGAAAAATCAAAATGCTGATACACTGCTGTTGAGAATGTGAAATAGTATAGCCTCTTTGGAAAACAGTCTGGAAGTGCCTCATTTAAACATAGAGATAACAAATGACCTAGCAATTCTACTCCTAGAGAAATGAAGACATATGTCCACACAAATATTTGTATATGAATGCTGATAGCAGCATTATTCATAATAGCCAAAAGGTGAAAGCAACCCAAATGTCCATCAACAGATGAATGGATAATCAAAATGTGATATGTCTATACAATGAAATGCTATTTGGCCATAAAAAGGAATAAACTGTTGATACATGCTATTATTTGGGTTAAACATGCTACGTGAAAGAAGTCAGTCACAAAACTCCATATATTATTTTTTTCATTTGAAAATCCAGAGTACAGAACTCTGTAGAGACAGAAAGTAAATTAGTTGTTGATTAGGGCTCAGTGCAGGAGGGATAAGGGTATATAGGATGATAACTAAAGGGTATGGGGGTTTTTTTCTGACATAATGAAAATGTTCTAAAATTGACTGTGGTGATGGATGCACTACACTGTGTGAATATACTAAAAGCCATTGAATTGTATACTTTAAATGAGAGAGTTGTGGTGGTATGTGAATTACATCTCATTAAAGCTGTTTTTTAAAAAGAATAAAACAGAAGTTATTATTGTCATGATAAAAAAAAATCCCCAAACATGGCAAGCCTAACCTTGAGACTGTCTATTTGGGAAATAACTTTCCAGTAACTTGAAAGTTTTGAAAACTCACAGCCCTCAGCTTAGGTGTTGGAAAGAAGAGCAAGTTATCTACTCTTTCATAAGGTATCGGTAAGGCATCACTGATTGCTGTTTTGCAGCGTTCACTCATTTGTAATTCTACCATAAAAATGATGTACTTGTGAAGCTGTTCCCATGTTACTGCGGAAATATTTTGCTCCCACTTGTATATTTTTCTCAGCTTAAATGTTAATTAAATTATTGTATTTAATCATTAATCCCAAATAGCTTTAAACAGCCAACATAAGTGAAAGTTTGCTCTTTGTACTCCTCCTGTGCAACAACACATCTCCCTCTGAACTCAAAAAAACCCACACAAGAATAGAACTCAAGTGTTTTATATTACAGAAAACAGTTTATACAAGCTACTTGGTATATTTAGGAGAATTTTGCATCCAATGTTAAACCAGAAAAATAAGACGCAGTGAAAACACATGGTGGCGCTGCAGGTTAAGGTGATGAAAACCAGAATTGTCTACGTAGCTCCAGTATTCAGCCAGTTTCACACTGCCTGGAAGCTGAAGAATAGCTCTCAGGCAGAGCAAAAGTGAGTGTGAAACCTCTTCAGAACTTTATTTAGCGATATAGTTCTGATTTGCTGGAGTGCAGGTCCCAGCTACTAGGATCCTGGCCATATATGAAGCTCCTGTGAACCGAGTTTTCAGGAAAGAGCAATGGAGATTGGATGGATAAACAGTTGGAGACAAAGGCAAGTCCTAGTTTTCTTTGTTTTGCTGAGCATGTCTGGGGCGAGTGCCGAGTTGGGGCCCTATTCAGTAGTGGAAGAAACAGAGAGAGGTTCCTTTGTGACAAATTTAGGAAAAGACCTGGGGTTGGGGTTGACAGAGATGTTCACTCGAGCGGCCCGGATAATTTCCCAGGGGAGCAAAGAGCATTTGCAGCTCAAGGTTCAGACTGGGGATTTGCTCATAAACGAGAAACTAGATCGAGAGGAGCTATGCGGTCAAACTGAGCCTTGTTTACTACATTTCCAAGTGTTAATGGAAAAACCCTTAGAGATATTTCAGGCTGAACTGAGGGTGAAAGACATAAATGACCATTCCCCCGTGTTCACTGAAAGAGAAATGATTTTAAAAATACCAGAAAACAGTCCGCCAGGAATTTCATTCCCTCTGAGTAACGCTCTGGACCTGGATGTAGGGAGCAACAATGTTCAGAACTATAAAATCAGCCCCAACTCCCATTTCCGGGTTCTAACCCGCAATCGCAACGACGGCAGAAAATACCCTGAGCTGGTACTGGACAAAGAGCTGGATCGGGAGGAGGAGCAAGAAATCTCATTAACCCTAACAGCATTGGATGGCGGCTCTCCGCCTCGGTATGGGACTGTCCAGGTGCACATTGAAGTGGTTGACAGCAACGATAATGCCCCCGAGTTTGAGCAGTCGCTCTACAAGGTGCATATTCCTGAGAACAGCCCTGTGGGTTCACTGGTTGTCACTGTCTCTGCCAGCGATGTAGACAGTGGAGTCTACGGGAAAATATCATATACATTCTTTCAGCCTTCAGAAGATACTAGTAAAACTTTGGAGGTAAACCCTATGACAGGCGAAATTCGACTAAGAAAACAAGTAGATTTTGAAACAGTTCTGTCTTATGAAGTGGACATCAAGGCTACTGATGGGGGAGGTCTTTCAGGAAAATGCACTCTTCTCCTGCAGATAGTGGATGTGAATGATAATCCCCCAGAAGTGACAATCTCTGCACTCACCAGCCCCATCCCTGAGAACTCGCCTGAGATTATGGTTGCAGTTTTCAGTGTTTCAGATCCTGACTCCGGGGACAATGGGAAAACTATTTCCTCCATCCAGGACGACCTTCCTTTTCTTCTAAAACCTTCAGTCAAGAACTTTTACTCCTTGGTAACCAGGAGAGCACTAGATAGAGAAGAAAGGGCCGAGTACAACATCACCATCACTGTCACAGACATGGGGACTCCCAGACTGAAAACCCAGCACAACATAACGGTGCTGGTGTCCGACGTCAACGACAACGCCCCCG